AGTAAAATTTTTATTCAAGCATTGGTCTTCCTTGCATTTAAAAAGAAAGGAATATAGGCGCAGAAATGACAAGTGAGTGAATGAAGAGGGCTTTCAAAGATTTGCGATTCTAGAACGGTATGATAGACTCATGAGTACATCGACCACCGATATTAAAGTCTTCTTAAAATGGGAAACTACAGAGAAAAATATTGAAATGAAAAAAAGTACAGAATTGATTTTATCCTTTTTCTGCAAGCTTACGAGACTTCGAAGAACCTACCAAATAATGCGTCTTTTGAAAATGCCTTCATACGTCCTTCTAGCATCGTACTGTTGTCTGGATATATTCCCAGACATTTCGTTGGTATCACCAATAAGAAACTTCAGCCTTAGCATCAAGTAATAACTCATTAGTGGCAAAAAAAATTTTCTTTCGCAATTTTATTCAACGATTGTGGTATCTCTTCTGTCCTCTGTCCTAGTTCATAGCACTCTATCCTCACCCCCAAATTCCATTATGCATGCCTAACTTTTATAGCTACTCATGCGTTCTAGTTTTATTAAATATATCCTAGATGTGTCTATTCCACTTCTACCACAGGGACTATTGGCTTCGCATCTTGCCTGAGGGGGATCCTAATCCCACTTGATACATCCACACGGCACTATCCAATTTATACTAGCCTATCCCTCCAATACTTTAAAATTCATGTAAACAAGAGACCGGTATTGTAGTTGATTGCAATAAATAAACCCCTTTAAAGAGACATCTGGGATATATTTAAAAATTAGAATATGGAGAGGTAACGATAGGAAAAGTTGCCATATGAAGTTGGATTGAGAAATGATAATAGAACGCTATGAGCTAGGACAGGGGGAAGACATACCATAAGGGTTGAAAATAAAATTGGTAAAGAAACGTATTGGAATGTATTCGGCCGGACGCTGCAAGGACACATAGCAATAATGATAGAATAAGGAATACAGAAAAATTTCTTCGAAGTTTTATTATAAATAAGACTAAGCACCGAAAATGAGGTTACCACCACCACCTTGGTCTTCATATATGAAGTGAAACGTATAGTAACATTTAGTGCTTAGGGTACTAGAATATAGAATAAACATTAATATTTGTAAGCTCAAAAATCACCTATGGTTGCATTAGATGATGCAACCTATGAAAGTTGAGTTTTACACAATGAAATAAGCAAATAATCCACAATTCTAATAAATTTAATTTAGGCTTGGCTCCCAAAGGGATGTATCAACCAGAATGAACTAAAGTTTCAGCTTCTAGCAGCAACGTCCTCATTCCGCCTCACCCGTGTACAAGCAAATTCTTAGAGTTGCATCTATATTTTTAAAATGTATTCCCCATAAAATGCTTGGCCCCTACGAAACCAATGATTCATAAGCTAAAACTTCTTCTTAGGATGTTGACGTCAATAATTAGGTGAAGTAAAGCCGAATAAGTTTTAACTAAGGGTTAGACAGAGGTATGTAGTTGAATAAACTAATTCAGCTCCGTTTTTATAAACAAAAAATCAGAATAATAGAACTAAGCAAGTGGAAAACAAGTAACTAGGGCAAAGTGATATCCGTAGGATAAATGTCAAGCAAATTTAAAAAGATAGACGAATATAATTGAAAAATACTTTGCCAAATAAAATGTTCCAACTAAATTTATAATAAATACTAAAGCTATTAATCGGTAAGCACTTGTTATTTACAATAAAAGCATAAAATTAAAATATTCTAGAGATAAAGCAATTATTATACTAAAATCATATATATGCAATTATTATTTTTAAGATGAGCATATAGTCTATATTAAAAAATAATGAATGCGACAGCGTAGTTAAAACAAAACGGTATAGAAAAGATTAATCCTTACTAAGAACTCGTCCCGGAAAAATAGTTTGGCTCGAACAACCTCAGGGTCTTCATTTGGATATTCGGCTAAGGCTAATATATGAAAAAATTATATCCTATAAACAATTCGTAAAAATAGAGACCTTAAAAGCAATATCACTCCATCAATAACTTTA